CTTTCCATGGTTTCAACAACACTTGTGTCACATTAGAATAATCCATGTTTAACTGAAAAGCAAAACAAACTCACAAGTCCCCGAGTGTATAAATGAGTAAGCATTGGTTAATAGCTAACTTAAAATGCTGATAGTCCCAACCCACGCAGAGATGCCTCAGAAGAAAGGCCTGGTGATCTCCTGCCAAAAGACAACAGCCGTGAAAGCTCGGTGGGGAAGGCGGTTCTACATGGCGTCGTCATAACTCGACAGAAGCTGGCTTTGTTGATTGGTTGGTTGGTTGGTTGGTTGTTGGTATACCTATGCCAGGGCTGCCCACCCTCTCGACCAAGAGTCCCCCCTCCGAGAGAGGATGCTTTAGTCTGTGTGGGGTGAAGTCCAGCCATCAGGGCTTTGTTTTAAGTTCCCCAGATGTTTCCAGTGTGCTTTCAAGCTCGAGAACTGCAGATTTCATCAGCTTCTCAGCCTTTCTCTTTGGCTTGGCCACGTATTGGCTATTTCCTCAGTAATGAGCTTTTCCAACGAAAGTAAGGAGAGGGATTGAGGAGTCTTGGCAGTCATCACACCAAGCATGTGTACTATCATTTATACTACAAAGAACTTGGAAGAGAAACGTGTGACCGTTAACTGTATATTTGTTTTTCTATGGAGAATTAATTAATGTCATTTGATACTGGCACAACAGGCCCCTTTTATGGCTGTCTCTAATATAATTGCAGGTAAAGTTTTGGGGCTGCTAGTCAAGTTTAAAAAAAAATTCTTTTCATTAAAGTACAGAATCCATCTTGCCAATTTGCCAATTATCTTGCCAATTACTACTCATCCATACTCGGTAGTATATCTGTAGTTTTGCATATGCAATTTTGCTTAAATACTGACAGTATTTACAAGGATAGTAGTTTTAAAATAAATAAAATAAAATTTAAAAATCACTATAGAGTTATTTTATTATTATTATTATTATTTATAAACTTTTGCTCATGTTTTACAATTCCTATCAACCACATTGTAAAGTGGCTGGCCAGATTAAAGTCATGTTAGTATCCCTGTAACATTTACATTAGTGAGACAATCTCTTGATATTTTCTTTTCAATCTCTTGGTATTTTCATCCTCAAAGGAATTGTTTTCCTCCAACAAGCAGTGACCTGAGTACCTTCTTGATGTTAGGCAATGGGGAAAGAAAGATGAGTAAGACATGGCTCCAGCCCTCCAAGACTCACATATAGGGGTGCCAGTGGACAAAGTAGAAGCAGGACTCAGAGGGGGGCAGCTGGTGCTTCAAAGCATTCTGAGCTGAATCCAAAGGTGACAGCATATGTCAGGGTCAAGACAAGACAGATCATAGAATCAAGGGTAAACTCAAGCATTTCATATGTGTTTAGACGGTGGGAGTAGGCGGACACGGTTAGAGGACTATGTGCCCTGCCAGTGATCGTGGACTTGTTATCTTCCACACAGGAGGTAGGCAGTTGCTGAGCATTGGATCACAATAAAAAGCTGATGCAAATACCACAAGCATTATGGGTATTTAGTTTGGCAACCTGACCTGAAGAAATTCTGGTCTGAGTGTATTTCCACTGGGATCCATTTGGCCTTGCTTTCCTCTTTTAAGGTTTAAATAGGAGCCAAAATGAATCTTGAGACTCTGGTATCTGAGTCTGGTACTTTTAAGCTACAAAATAGAAGTTTTGCATAGTTTTTTCTCAAGCAAATCTGCTTGTAATGGAAGCCAAACTGTTAAAAGTGTTTGTTTGCTTGCTTGCTTGCTTCCCATGTATGTTGTATGTAAAATTGCTCCAAGTGTTTGGTTTTGAAAGTTTCTAGAAAACTCATTCACTTTAACTGTGACTGCTCTGCAGGACTGGCGAGGCAGTGGACAGCTTGCTCTCTCTGGAGCCACCACTGCAGCAAGGATAAAAATAGGACACATGTTAAGAATCCCAGATATTTTCAGATAACAAAGACTGATTTATGTGGGCTCGTTTTGTGCTTTGAGAAAACATAGAGACGCTTTTGTGCTGTGATTAGCAAGGGTGCTGATGTCAGTTCTCTTGTTGAGCATCAAGCTTTATTCTGTGGTTAAATTGTGCTTTGTACTGTCACCCAGAGAACCTTTGTATCTGCCTTATTAAAGCGTGTAGTTTATGTAATTGCTTTTGTTTTCCAGTTTAATCTGTGCCAGATTCAGTGAGAGTGACTCATTTTGTGACTGAGACAAACTTTCACATAGAAATACAGAAGTGACAGGTGCTGGGTGGCTAAATTCTGTGTCTCAGTGCTGTAATTTCCCCCTTGGAAGGTGCCTTTCTTGTATAATATCTACTCTGCGTCTGTTATCACTAGCCCAATAGATCTAGCACACCTCAGCTCGTTGCTACTCATGTCTTGCCTGTTTGTTTCCGTTTCCAAGGGCCTTTTGTATTTTAACAATATTATTGCAACAGGGAAGCGAGGGATTGGCTAGCGGGAGCCAGAAAACACAGGTTGATTACCAGGATACATAGCTGTAGCAAAAGGACTTGTTCCATCCATTCTTCTGTTTTTGCCATTTTCCCATGTGTTTGCATGTGTTTTGGTAAAGTTTCCTTAGTTGTGTGTACTTTATTATTTATATGTTTATCATGGAGACTTTCTCAAATGGGAGAGGTTTAGGCAGCACTCATTTCTAGTCATATAGCTAATATTGTACAAAGTTGTAACATGAACTCATAGGGAAATTATTCAACCTATTGAGCAGTCAAATATTGTACAAGACATTATGCTGTGCATTGGGTAAGCCGTGGCCTATAAATCAGGGTCATTATCTTCTTAGACTTTACAGTCTGATTAGGGAGTAAGATGCCAAACAAGTAAGTGCAAAGATAGATAGAATGGTGAAATTATTAAAAACCATTCTAGAGGTAATCACGTTTCCAATGCAATCAATATGCCCTACTTTACGCTGGTTGGGGGGTGGATGGGTGGAGAATGGTCAGAGAAGGGAAGGTATCAGGCTGGAGTTAGCCAGGCAGACTGGAAGAAAGAAGATATCAGGTTTAGGAAGGAGTATGTCTTTGTGACAAGAACAAGTTTGACATCCTATATAATAAGATGGGAGAAGAGCAACTGAGTAAAGAAAGAAAAATATATTTAAAATATTATAGATGAATTATGCAGGCACAATGGCACTCTTAAAACCAATATCATAGGCATTACTGAGCTGAAAGAGACAACTGCTGGATGCACATCAGTGTACAATGCCAGAAATGATGTATTCAGGAGGAAAGGTGTTGTAGCCATCATCATTCAGAACACTTCAAGATCTATCCTTATGTACAACACTGGCAATGATAGGATAATATGCTTATCCTGGAAGGAAGGCCAGTTAATGTGACTGTTACTCAATTTTAAACACCAACCACAACTGCCAAGGCTAAAGAAACAAAAGATCGTTACCATCTTCTTTAGTCTGGAATTGATCAAATAGGCCATGAGGATGCATTGCTAATTAGTGGCGATTGGAATGTGAGCGCTGGAAACAAGGAAGGGTCGATAGTTGGAAAATAAGACCTTGGTGGTACAACCAAAACCAGAGATTGCAAGATAGAATTTTGGAAGACCGGTGACATCTTCATTGCAAATACCTTTTTCCAACATGATAAATAGCAATTACCTACATGAACCTTGCATGATAGCATACTCAAGGATCAAATTGACTACATGTGTGGAAAGACATGATGGAGACACTCAATAGCATCAGCTAAATCAAAGCCAGAGGCCAACTGTGGAACACACCATTGGTTGTTCATGTGTAAACTCAAGTTGAATTAAAAATTAAGTCCATGAGAGACCTTGAATATAGCCCATCTGAATCCATAGAACATCTCAAGAACAGATTTGGCACATTGAACACACGGACCACAGACCATGTGTGTTGTAGAATGGCATCACGCACATCATTCATAAAGAAAACAAAAGGTCACCAAAAAAGACAAGAAAAAGACTTGTTTGTTAACATAAAGTAAACAGAAGAAATGAAGAAGTAAAAAATCTGAACGGAACATACCAAAGAGCGATCCATTAGATAAAGTGGAAATTATGAAACGTATAAAGACCTGGTATCAGAAAGCTCAAAAGGAAGAACATGCTCAGCATATCTCAAGCTGAAAGAAGAAGAAAGAAACTCAAACCTGGATTGGCCACATTGAAGAATTCTGTGTGGCACAGTACGAGGGGGCTTCAAAAGTTCGTGAGAAGTTTTTATTAGAATTCCTTTTTTTTCTTCAGCGAACTTTTTGAAAGCTCTCCATGTTGGCAGAAGAAAGATGTAGCAATGGCAACCATCTTCCTTAAAAGTGTAGTCTCGGGAGCGCTATGGACACTTGTACCCTGTCCTGGAGGTCCACTGTGAACTGGAGGCAGCTGGATGATGGTGCGTTGGGTTTGCCCTCTCTTCCATCGGTGGTGCCTGCCATCACTGCCACGTGTACAATAGAACAAGACAGGACAAAGATGTTCCTGGTCCTGCATCAGCTTCATGGTCAGCAGACCACTTGAGTCCATTTTTGTGGCTACTGTGTATTTTGAGTGTCTGAGTGTCTTTCAACATAGGAGCCTCGTCTCCTAGCATTATATAAGCTAGTAGTTTACTGTGATTCACGAAGCTTTACAAGTAGATCACCAGGCTTTTCTTCCTGCGCAATCTGAGGTTCCACTACTGCCAGACGTGGCACTGTTGGCATTTGAAATACCGACGGCATAGCTCCCAGTAAGTTAGCAACAGGCCAGTACTAGAGTACAAGAAACTGACAGACAGGTGGTAGATGCGCGTACACACACACACACACACACACACACACACACACACAGTGTTACATTTTCAGAGATTATTTTACAGAAACAAAAATGTGTCTTTTTCTAGGCAGTACATTTATGAAATTGGTTGATAAATGTGTATTTCCTTGAAAAACTCTCAAATGAATTCCAAACCCTAAGTTTGTATTTTTGTTTCGTCCCTAGGCTTGGAAGAGGAGATGGTTTGTGCTACGCAGTGGCCGCTTAACTGGAGATCCAGATGTATTGGAATACTACAAAAATGATCATGCCAAGAAGCCTATCCGTATTATTGATTTAAATTTATGTCAGCAAGTCGATGCTGGATTGACATTTAACAAAAAAGAATTTGAAAACAGCTACATTTTTGACATCAACACTATTGACCGGATTTTCTACTTGGTAGCAGACAGCGAGGAGGAGATGAATAAGTGGGTTCGTTGTATTTGTGACATCTGTGGATTCAACCCCACAGAAGAAGGTAAGTTTATTTTTGTTGTTGTTACTCAGTTTGAGTAACAGTGTGCTGCTTTACTCCTAAACTGAGTAACCGTTTAACTCCTTTACTGCTAAAGTTCCTGCACTGACATCAAATTCATGGCTAGTTCAGCCACATGATGTTCTAGTTGTTTTGACTTTCACGATTGTAACTTAACATTAGTGGAGAAAAGACATGCGACCTTTTAAAAGTAGTTCGGGGAAAAAGCTTTTTTATAGGTTTTAATTCAGAGCATTGATTGAGTTCCTATACAAGGGGCTTCAGAGAGTTCATGGAAAACTTCCCTTTCCTGTTGGAAGCCCCTTTCTGTGCGTGTTGAATGCAGTAAAGCCTTGGAGGACTGGAACTCCTCACCACTGCCGCCTTGCTTTTCTGGATCTCACAGATTTTCCTCGTTGACAGTGCAGCCTGACCCCTTTTCTGCAGTTTGTTGGAGGGGAATGTATTTGTCTTCTCCCGTTTCCGCCTCACCCAGAAGCTTACTGTAATGCAGAGCCGCTGAAGGCTGATCGTTGGCTCCGCGTGGAGCTGCCCCGTAGGGTTTTCATAGCTGTAATCTTTGGGAAGCAGATTGGGAGACTGTAGGTTTGAACTGCCTACTTTTCAGTTCGCAGTCAGTCCACAACCATTTGCACCACCGAGATCATGGACTCGTGTTGAAATACGCACTTCGGAGTATCTTCATTTAGGAGTGCTTCAGATTCGATGAATCGTTTGGGGGTTAGGAGAATGGGATGCAATAACAATCAAGATTTGCATTGAAGTGACTCAGTAATCATATCTGTGTGATGCAGATTAATCATGACGCTCCTGAGACAAAGCCTCCAGGGCTGGGCTGACCTGGTGAGCTGGAGGAAGCCCCTCAGAGCGGGAGTTCAAATACCCAAGGGAACAACCCTGAAAGAGGGAAGGAGGGATTCCACAAGGAGACTAGTGAAGTAGATATCTTTATAAAGAATGCTAATGAATAAAAGTTTGGGGAAATTATTTACAAGTAGAATTAAAGCTTTGGTTATTTCTGTGAAGTTACTAGACATATTCGCATTCAAAGTGGGCAGGGGCGTATTTCAAATTCCAATTAAACTCCCTTTCTCCTATGAACTCAAACCAAACTCATAACAACTCTGTAGGGCAGGGTGGAATTGTTCCTGTGGGTTTCTGAGACTGTAACTTTTCATGGGTCTCGTTTTTTGTCTCCCATTGAGCAACTAGGGGTTTCGAACTGCTGACCTGTGGTTAGCAGCTCAGTGTAACCACAACACGACCAGGGCTCCTGGCCTATCTTGTATATGTAGTTTATATTTGTGTTCAGCAGAAGACAAATGAAATAGTTCTTCTTTTAATGGTAACTAAATCAGAAATGATGATTATTCAGCATAGATGCCATGTTTCGGCATATGATGGGTTTTCCGTTAAAATCATGACGTCTTCATGGTCCTCTTTTCTTGCTTTGCTTGTTACCGTCACATTTAGAATTCGGGGGTGTTAGGCAGACATCAGACACCATTGGTTTTCTGTGTAGGTTCATCGCATCTAAAATCCTCAGCTGATGTTCTTCTGTTCCTTTTTTTCCTTTTCCGTGTCTCCAAAATAGTTCCTAGCAAAGAATTTTAAAAATAAACATTTTCTAACAAAGAAAATCAGATTTCCTCTAGGAAAACATGTACATTCTTTAGTCAAGGAGTACAAATGTCTAATTTTTGTAAGCCCATTGAGGTTTGGGTAGAGTTATTGCACCCAAGAGTAAATACCCCCAAAATGGAAATTATTTGTTAAACTGCCCCCGAAACAAGCTAATCTGTGTGTACATAGTAATTTTTTAATGAGAATATATTATAAATATTTTGAAATCTCCTTTGCTTTAATTTTAAGTAAGCCATATGTTATACGTATCTTTTTATGCTAGTAAATATTCTTTTACAATGGCATTTTTGGTGACTGCATTCATATTTTCATTCTCTGGATGTGTCATAATTGATTTAGCCAGCGTCTTAATTGCTGAATATATAGATTGCTTAAATTTTCTCATTTTTTTAAAGGCTGTTTTTAAATATTTTTTTAGTTATAAAACACTAGTTTAAAAAACTCAGGTGTTGGCACAATTAAAATCTAGTTTCTTTCATCAGTGGTTCTCAGCCAGTGGGGGTCACCTCTTTGGGCATCTAACGACCCTTTCACAGGGGCCACCTGGATTCAGCACAGTAGCAAAATGACAGCGATGAAGTAGCAACGAAAATAATTTTATGGCTGGGGAGTCACCACAACATGAACTATGAAAGGCTCGTGGCCTTGGGAAGGTTGAGAACCACTGTCTTATATAAACCTTTTTTGGTGATTGTTTTAATAGTCAGCAGCCTACAACACAAAGACAAAACTGTTCTAAAGCAATCTGCAAGGCTTAGTCAAGAGATAGAAGTAAAAGGAGAGATGGTTACATGAGCATGGCGACTTTTCTCATTCCCAGTCAAGACCGCCCTGTAGCTCAAGCTGCTGCCTTTCTTTGTGCCCTTTTTCATTACTAGAGCTCTGTACCAAAGATAGCCTGTGTGTGCACCCGGCTAGACCGGTAGAGATCAGAGCTGGAAACACAGGGAATCCGGATAGGTGAACCCCTCAGGACCAATAATGACCGTAGAGATACCAGGAGAGGAAGGGGAACTTAAGGGGAGAAAAGGGGAACTGAACAGAATGAGCTACAATAACTCCCTCCTAGGGGGACAGACAACAGAAAAGTGGGTGAAGGGAGACATCAGTCAGTGTAAGGCATGAAAAAATAATAATAATTTATGAATTATCAAGAGTTCATGAGGGAAGGCGGGTAGGAGAGCGAGAGGGGGAAAAATGAGCCAATTACCAAGGGCTCAAGGAGAGTGAATGTTTTTAATATGATGATGGCAACATATGTACAAGTGTGCTTGACACAACGGATGGATGGATTGTGATAAGAGCTGTACGAGTCCCCAATAAAATAAAAAATTTTTAACAAGGCTGTGTGTGGCCTTGAGAAAATAAGAGAAATGTTAGTTCTAACAGCTTGTTGGGAGGAAAAATATGAAGACATTCCTTATACTGCCACTTAGAAAAGAAAGGGAGGTAAACATACCCTCTTCACAAACCTATGGAATTTCTAATGTTTAAGTGTCTCAGATTAATGTTGCAAGCTTTAAAAGGATAAAGTTACAGGTCTTTATAAAATAGCTTAGAAGTACATTTAGGTTGACTAAAACTTAACGTGTGAATCCTTGATTTTCACAGTAATCCATCAAAGGGGGAGTTGCATGAAAAGTATGATGAACAAAAGTTAATAGACATGATCTGTCCATTGATTACCTGACATAGAGATCACCTTTATTTATCTATTACAACAAGCTCCAGAGAATTTTAGTTTGCCAGTTCTTTCTAAATTTAGTTTGTGAGCTTTGTTTAAATACAATTGCCTTTTTTTTTCTTTTTAAAGATCATTTTATTGGGAGCTCTTAACACCTCTTATAACAATCCATACATCAATTGTATCAAGCATATTTATACATATGTCGCCATCATTATTTTCTAAACATTTACTTTCTATTTGAACCCTTGGTATCAGCAACTTTTTCCCTTCCTCCCCCTCCCCCACTCGTGACCTCCTTGATAAATTATAAATTATTATTATTTCCATACCTTATACTGACCACTGTCTTCCTTCCCCCATGGTTTCTGTTCTTCTTTTTTTAAATCATTTTATTGGGGACTCGTACTACTCTTATCACAATGCATACATCCATTCATGTGTCAAGCACATTTGTACATTGGTTGCCATAAATTTCTTACTGATTTCTTCCAGCTATCTCCCCCAAATATCCAGTTTGATATGTCTCTCACTACGCTATGTGAAAGGCGTGAGCTTCATCGGGTCAATCTGTGAAAGACGAGCAAGCCCTCATTATTTATTGCCAAAGCACCATGAAGCATTTTATTGTACTCTATTGTTTTGGCTTATGATGCACAGTATCAAAAACTGCAGAAAGACTTGTAAAGCCAACTACTGTGTTTTGTGATGCATATGTAATAGGTGACATTACTAAATGCCTTTTTAAAATTCCTGTTAAAATTTTTTTATTGGCTTCTAAATAGCATAGATTGCTATTCGCTGTTATAATCATATTCATATGGTTTAGAATGACAGGATGAATGCCACAATGTCTTTGTTCGTCCATTATCTCTGCTGTCTGCTTTGTAGTCTTACTTCCAACTAGATCTTGCTGCCAATCACCAAATAATACGTGTTTTTGTTTTTGCCAAGATAATGTCCCCTGAGCCCTGTGTTCTTCCCATTTCAGAAAGCTGAATATGCTCCCAAACTTGTCTTAAAAATTGGCTAAGTCACACGAGAAGATTTTTCACTATACTAGCTGCCAGCTAGAAGCAGGAAGAAATAGACCGTGCTTGGGCATCAGTCTGAGAAAATAAGTATCCTAACCCCTAGAAGAATAGCTAATTTTCTCCTGGAAACAAAAGGAAAGGGGAAAACTCTGACCTGTGTTTTGATTCCAGGAACCTCTCAAAATATCCTTACCATGTTATTTCCGTTGCCCCAGGTGCCCATGGCTATTACTGCATATTCCGAATGCGGGCAGGCTGTCTCTGTTTTTAAACTCAAGTTCATTGAACTGTGTGCGGTTCCTATGACTTTTTATTTGGTAGACTTGAGGGTAAAGACTAATTTTTTTTGTTGTTCTTGGAGAGGTGCAGATTTATTTTTGTTTCTACAGTGAAGTGGAAGTGGCTAAATATGTTCAACAAGTGCTGGAAGTCTGTGCAGCAGACTCAGTGAGGAGGCTCTCGTGCTCCAAATTCAGGGCAAAAGATTAGAAAGTTGCTTCTGAGTTGCTTTTCTCAAAATACCCACGTACTAGTGGCACGTGTGCCACACACATGCCACCGTTCCAAACGGATCTTCTTCACTGTGCTTTGTGAAGTAAGTCAACTCGCCATGACTTCCA